TTCTTGCTCCTAGTAGCTTCTTGTTACGAGTAGTAAGGCCAGGAGCCCCAAGTAGCGTCCTTGCTCCTAGTAGCGATTTGTGCCTAGTAGCTTCTTGATACGAGTAGTACGGCCAGGAGCCCCTAGTAGCGTCCTTGCTCCTAGTAGCGATGCTCTTTGTTCCTAGTAGCGTCTTTACGAATAGTAAGGCCAGGAGCCCCTAGTAGTGTCCTTGCTCCTAGTAGCGATGCCCTTTTTCCTAGTAGCTTCTTGCTCCTAGTAGCTTCTTGTTACGAGTAGTAAGGCCAGGAGCCCCTAGTAGCAGCCTTGCTCCTAGTAGCTTCTTGTTACGAGTAGTAAGGCCAGGAGCCCCTAGTAGTGTCCTTGCTCCTAGTAGTGATGCCCTTTGTTCCTAGTAGTTTCTTGCTCCTATAGCTTTTTGTTACGAGTAGTAAGGCCAGGAGCCCCTAGTAGCATCCTTGCTCCTAGTAGCGATGCCCTTTGTTACTAGTAGCTTGTTCCTCCTAGTAGCGGTGCCAGGAGCGTTTTAGACCTGTCAGAACCTTTCTTTTGTTCTGACTCCACTTTGCTCAGCTAGTAGCATTCGTCTTCACTTATAGAACGTTTGTCTTCCCAACAAGGTTTTCTGTGTCCCATCAATCCTTCCAGCCACGGCACACATGGCATTGGCTGGCCAAAGGCCGAAAGGTGCATGGCGGCCGCTGACGGTGGCAAATCTCAGCTGAGCTTAAAACGAAAACAGAATGTCGAACCTCAACACTTTGATCCTAGTAGTATGCCCCTAGTAGCGTCCCTTTGCTCCTAGTAGCGTCCGATCGCTCCTTTTCCTGATTTTGTGTCATATTTCTATCTGAACACTCTCTCGAACAGTCATTCATGCTGGTTTGGGCTTAATGCTCAACTGTCCAACTGTCCAGCGCTACTGCTTGCAAAAACACTGTCCTTTACTGCCACTTGCTGATATTTACACGATTTGCCTTAACAAACCTTTGCTACGATATAGCAAGACTGCTTTCTGACATTGGCTGATCTCAGAAATGGAACTTCTTCTTGTTCTAGGTTTTTTACAAGAGTTGGCCCGGCAAAAAATCCAAAAGTGTGCCAGAAAGAATCAGCCTGCAACCCCTTGCAGGTTTTCTTTAGGGCTTTCTAGGTCCACTTGATACATTCTTTGACTCACGGATCTCTCTTCTTTTTTGACACTCATCTTGTACGCTTACAATATCTTAGCACACAAGGTTTCTTTCGGATTCTTTTGAAATATTGCGGTGCGTTTTCTTGGATTTCTAATTGAAGTGATCCCTGTCAGAATTTGGCTGGGGACCTATACAAGGTCCTTTGTTGGTGTTTACGTCTTAAGTTCTTCTGATGCTTCCTGCGAAATCTTTCTCCAAAATCCTTAAGACCCCTTGAGGATCCCTTGTTGGGATTCCTTGAACTTTCGCGAGGGTTCTACGACATCTCCATGTGTATATATATATATAGAGAGAGAGACATAAAAACGTTCTTTGAAATTGCTAACGAACTCTCAATTTCTGTTCAGGGGATGTCTATTGTATCTTTAGGATTTCAATCGTGCTTTTGTGAAAATGCCTCTTGGGTCTCTTGATAGTGTTCGCCGGTTCCTGAGGTCTCTCTGCCTCTCAAGAAAGCAAAAAAACAAAAACAACTGTTTTTTAAAGCCCGCTCCGCCCCCCTCCCTACTTAATCAAGTAGGCGCCTACTTAATTAAGTGAGGGAGAGGTAGCTAGTAGCTTAAGTAGCTACTACTTAGGAAGCAGGATAGCTCACGCTTCTTCAAGGAAGCTCCCCTCGCCGCCCTAATGATTTGGTTTCTAGACCTTTAGGGAAACTTAAGCAGCATATACATATATATATATATACATCAGAAACCCGCAACTAAACAGTTCCAGATCCACTCTCACAGGATCCAGGAGAGACCTGAGGATCTTCACAAGCACGTGTGTACGGTCTCTCATCTGTGGCGGGCCCTGCGTATTCATTCCAGCCCTGACCACAAAATGTTTTGACTTTGGGCAGTGCTGCCCCCGCAATGAAATCTAGCGTGAACCTCAAGCAACCGAACATGAGAAAGCTGCACATCACTTTCTCATCGCTGGAAGCAGAATTCGAATGAGAAACCTGCAGAATTCGAAGACATCCTGCCGCAGCATGCTGTTTTGCTGTCCAGCAAGCTTTTTTGCTTGTAGCAATGTGCTGTTTGTGCTAACCCAGAGCCGTCTAGACCAGTCTTTGCGTGACCGGCACAGTCATTCGTAGACCGTTCGCACCGCGCGGGAGCCCGTAAAGCGATGGCCTCCAACATAGTAGCATCCTTGCTCCTAGTAGTAAGGCCAGGAGCCCCTAGTAGCGTCCTTGCTACTAGTAGCGATGCCCTTTGCCCCTAGTAGCGTCCTTTGCTCCTAGTAGCATCCTTGCTCCTAGTAGCGATGGCCTCCAACCTATAGGACATGACCTAGGACCGTGCGAAAGCCAAGGGGCTGAAAATATCGAGCTAAACAGGTGGCTGCCAAGTCTGGAGGCCTCCACGGACCATCTTCCTCCTCACAGCGGTCAGTTCAATAGCATTCTTATGATGTGTTGTCTCCTATCCCAATGTTCTGATGTTCATCATTTTTACAACATTTCTCCTAGACTTTCTCCTCATCCCAATCAAGCGGTTGAGCTTCAGGGCTGCTACTTTCCAGCAAGGCGCTTCCATTAAAGCGCATGAAAATCCGATAGCAGTGGCCTAAGGTGATTCTTAGTGCTTCGCGTTTGTCGCAATGTCTCCTAGAACTGTTAGATGCCGAACATGACACTACACAAGAAGCTTGTTGTGTTTCTCCGCAAGTTGTGTTTCTCATATTCTCGTAGTGGCGTCCAGAAGTGCAAGTAAACTCTGGCAGGATTACGGCATCGACTGCAACCTTAATGCCAAAAAACTGTGGAGACTTGCAACTTGCAACCTTATTGCATGCACCACACTCCTTCATTCGAAAAGATCAAAAGAAAAGAGTCCAAAGATGAGAGGTCTCAAAAAAAGAGAAAGAAAAAAAGGATGTCGAATCGGCATCGCCAAGGCCGCCAAGGCTGGAAAGAGTTTTGAACGAGCAGCACCGTGTAAACGACGAGCTTTGCCTGGTTGATGGCAAGTGCCTGGCTCCAATACAAGTATATAAAAGTAAACACAGAGGTAAACAATAGCAATGGCTCCAACCTGATTGCAAATGGCATCCAAGAAAGAAAGTAGGCTAAACACCAGAGTCGGAAGGAAATTGAGTGTTCTTTATCCGATAAAAAGAGACTTCTCGAACTTGGGAGACTGAGAAGCATTCTTCCACTGCGAAGCACCTGGTTTTGAGCAGAGCCGAAGAACAGGTGCAGACCAAAGGGGCTTGAAGCTGAGCGGTAGATGCTCAAACTGCAGCGGCAGAGATTCGACCTCAACTGTGTGGAGCGCTCAAACAGGAAACGACGAACCAAGCGAGCAAAGAAATGATGAATCGAACATTGAAAAGGGATAGATAAAAGGAAAGAATTTGCTTAGGAACAAGAAGCTGTTAGGGGCTCCTGGCCTTACTACTAGGAGCAAGAAGCTACTAGAGGCTCCTGGCATCGCTACGAACGGAGCAAGGACGCTATTAGTAGTTATTAGGTTGGAGGCCATTGCTCTGGTAGGTTCTATTGCTCCCTAGTAGCTACTTGCTCCTAGTAGTACGGCCAGGAGCCCCTAGTAGCGTCCTTTGCTCCTAGTAGCGATGCCCTTTGTTCCTAGTAGCGTCCTCTTGCTCCTAGTAGTGGCCGGAGTCAAAACAAAAGTCCAAGATGTGAGGCCAAAGACTCCATCGCGGCAGGCAAACAGCAATGCCACAAAAATGGCACGGCCTGTGGTCGCTCCACCTAGCAAGTTGCTCGCATTGAGCGCGGTGGTGAGCGAGTCATAGGCCAACACCTCAAACGATATGACAAAATTAAAGAAGGAAGGCTAAAGAAAGGAAGAAAGGCTGGAAAGACAGTGTCGAAAAAATATGGGAAGGCAAAACGGCGCTGCAGCCTTCATTTCTGGGTTCACAACCGCACGGCACTTCGAGGCAAGCACAAACCACAAAATAGCGGGGATCGCAAAGGAGGTCTTCTCACTCTGCACCTTGACATCAGTCATATGCTTTCTTGAACTTAAAAGAAGGCGAAAACTGAAATAGCATATATTGTTGAATACTGTTCTTTCTGTTGTTTTCGCTTGTCATTATTCTTCTTCTTTAGACCTTTAGACCTGTTCTTTCTTTCTCTCTTTCTTTCGCTTGCCTCGTCGCCCGGTGCGTCACCACTGGCAGTCAAACGACCAATGACCTCGTGTCACACAACACACAGGGAGTCGGAGCGAACTGGGAGCATCCGTCAATCTGCTACTAGTAGCGTCCTTGTTCCTAGTAGTAAGGCCAGGAGCCCCTAGTAGCGTCCTTGTTCCTAGTAGCGATGCCCTTCGTTACTAGCAGCGAACGAACATGCTCGTTGACGAGTTACAGATTTATACGGAATCACACTTTGATGGCATCCCGCCTCTGGCACAGATTGATGGAGACGAGGTACCACTAAGACCTTACCGGAGACCTATGTTTTGAGCGTGGATGCCGGATGCCATCAAAGTGTGCTGTGTTGTGACTCTGCAGTTTGAGGATTCCATCGCCCACATGTGAACAGCTCCTTTTCGCGATTACTCGTTGCTGAACCACTCAGACTCACAACATCCTTCCATCCAAATGAATACATAACAACATCAACATACATATATAGTTGGATATGAGTTCTAATGTGTCTGGAGTTTTCCCGAGCTCTCCCGCACCTCTTTGTCTGAATGGAGAGTCGCCAGAGATCCACTTAGCTCACCCGTGACAGAGAGGACGGATGCTCGACTTTGAACTTCCGTCAACACCTGCACAAAGCAGCAAGAGGGATCTGATATGCTCAGGTAAGCCAGCTTTTGCTCCTGCTCTCCTTTTCGTCCCAAGAACGAAAATTCACTTGATCAGACTGGATCAAAGTTGTCCAAAAGACCTCTCTCAAGGCAAAACCAGAAGCCACGGGGTTTCACCTCGTCCAGTAAGCCATGGAAATGCTCACAGCTCGCACCCTGTGCCGCTGACCGCAGCGCGGAAATCATCGTGGCTTGGCGCTCTGCACTGCTGCAGGGCTTCCGCGACCGGAGCAACGCCAGGGCGGCACGGAGGACGAAGTCTCCAAACTGCAGCACCTCCAAACGGAGGAAGTGAAGCAACGACGCTACTAGGGGCTCCTGGCCTTACTACTAGAAAAAAAAGACGCTACTAGAAACGAGAAATAAGTAAACTTAGAATTGAATCAATTGCTTTTTATGTCTTTCGCTAAGAGAACTAGACAGAAATCTAAAGACGAAAACAAGGAAGACTTCCAAGAGAGGTCAAGGAAGGAGGGTCGTAGACGTCGTAGGTACCAGAACTGCACCTTGGGATTTTCATGTGTGACTCTCTGCATTTCCTGCGATGCCATGACCAAGCCATTGTCATCCGCATGCTCAGCCAAAAGCAGCAATGCCTTGGGGAAACACGTTCTCTCCGATTCTCGAAACAAAAAAACGTAACAGGAAGCTACTAGGAGCAAAGGGCATCCCTACTAGGAGCAAGGACGCTACTAGTAACAAGTGCATCGCTACTAGTAACAAGTGCCTTACTAGTAGTAACAAGAAGCTAGTAGAAACAAGTGCCTTACTACTAGGAGCAAGGACGCTACTAGGATCAAAGAAACATCCGAGCCAGAAGAGTCGAACAGACGTAACGATTCTCGGCTTAATGCTCTCTCAAGTCCGAGGCCGCAGCTGGTATACGGGCCGCAGCTTCTAAGTCGACGTAATGCCCAGCTACCGCCTCTCTTCAAACCGAAAGGACGGGATTCAAAAGGAGGTCAGTGGTGCTTGGCCAACAGACTAGTAGCAAGGATGCTATGGGAGCAAGGACGCTGCTAGTAGCTCCTGGCCTTACTAGGAACAAGAGGACGCTACTAGTAACAAAGGAAGCTTCACTTTCGGCTCGGAAGTTCAGGTCTATCATGTCTGGAAGACCATGTCTGGGTTCCTAAGTTCTTTTTTGTGTGTGGTTTGTTGCTGCCAAAGACCTAAGGCCGCAAGAATAAGCAAGGTTCTTTTAGAACAAAAGTATTTCTTCGCATAAATGCCCAAAAAAAAAGAGGTAAGCGATACGGGTCGCTTCTTTGTGATGCTTCTACCTCCTTGAAAGGTGCTTCATTGAAGAGACCCTCAACTTCTTTTTTAAAATCGTGTTTAGCGCAAGAATGTTTGCTAGCAGATTGGAGGCCATTGCTAGTAGGTTGGAAGCCGTTCTCTGATGCCGAATGCCTCTGGCTCTGCTCCCTGCTCCAGCAAGCTCAATGCCTCCACGCTACCAGGACTCCAACCTTGAAAAGTGACATCCCATCAGACCCGAACATACACACCTCGAGTCATCAATTTCTATTGAAACTGGGGAAAGCACTTCGGTCTGGCTCAGCTTCATGCATAAAGTCTGCCCAACTCCTGAAATAAAAGGACGATACGGTCGATCTTGAGAACGTGTTCTCAAGATATCAAGCTAACTTTCTTGGCGGCATTGAAACTACTTGAAACGAATGAACGAAAAGCATTCCGTCTTTCTGCATCTTTCCTCCAAGATTGGGAGAAACGGCGGAATTCGAAGCCCTCCAGCGACACAAAGCGCAGCGCGTGCAACAACTCCAAGCCGTGGCAGCTGTGCTCCTGGCAGCGAAGCTCCACTGAGAGCCGTTGTCTTTGTACGTCGGTTTGGTACTTTGTACTAAGTAATTCTATGTAGGCTATTCTTTTGCCTATCCTTTACGCACTTAAGTAGGCTCCTACTTAGTTAAGTAGCAGTGAACGCAAGATAGCTCACGCACTATTCATTTAGTTCCTAGATTCATGTCCTACTTTGTACAGGTACTACGGACGGTGTTCCACCAGCTCCTGTTCAGACAAATCCGAAAGAAACACATCGCCTTGGTTGCTCGGCTCACGAACAGAGCGTTCAATGCAACAAAAATGACATGAGGATTGTGTGGCCTGAGAAACGGACATCTTTTTTTGACCCAGGACCTAGGAAGTTACTAGTAGCTGGGACCCAGGAAAGTCCTCGCACTATTCATTTGGTTCCTAGATGTTTGGGGAAACTAAGAGCGATGGCCTCTAATTTAAGGGCTCAACATGTCACGTTTTCTACAATGCGGGCAAAACCTGGGAAAACTTTTCTTACTGGTGTTCTTGAAGCTTCGAAGTGCTTGCGGAGGCCCTCCACCAGTCTCGTCCCAAAAAAAACGGTTAGGCCAATCGCAGTCGGACGAAGGTTGTCTCTCCAAGTGTCTTTGCTCATGGTTCCAAGCAAAGGAATCCCCAAGCAGCGCTCCCGCTAGGCCATGTTGAACACGCACAGTGAACTCGTCATCTTTGCAGCTTTCGCCTCTTATTGAAAAAAAGTGAAAAAATAACATCGTCAAGTCAGTCAAGTCATGTGAATAAATCCAATAAACACGCCGTGTTTGCTGATTTTCGTCTTTCAACACGTCACCTGGCTCTGGCTGTGGGAGCCCAGCAGCCAGGAATGCCGACATGAGCTGCATCAAGCGCGGCATAAGTTGATGCTTTCAACTAAGCAACGGCTTCTTCAAGCAAGCCGTGCCGGCCCTAAGCTTTACTTACACGATGAAAGTAAGTAAAGCCACATCTAGAGCAATTCGCGAAACAGCCCTCAAAGCTGCCTAACATCAAGACCTCTCTTCTTGAAGTTTGGAGAAACCAAGTCATCTTTTGCATTGTTCGATGTTTGTATATAATTATGAGTGCAATGTGCATGCTCAGCTGACTGTCCAGCGATTGCACGATTTCAAGTGTTGAAGTGATGGAGTTGACTCCCTTGCCAAGATTTAAGCAACTATTGAAAATTAAACGTTGAAAGGTAAAAAATGTTTGAAGGTCCTAAGAAAGAAGAGAAAGCAAAAACGAAAAGATAATCGTCTTATTGCGAATTGTTTTGGACTTGACCACCTCGGGATAAATCTTCACGACAAGAACGCTGTCGCACAACTCACCTGGATTGTCCTTCAAAAAGATGGGCGCAAGTGGCCAGGCAGCGGCCACAAGCAAAAGCGCTTCCCACAAAAACCACATCCTGACACTTGTGTGAAGCGGAGTAGAGACATTCCTAAGATTGCATTGGCGTAAAGGCAAGAGCAAAAGTGAAACTGATGTGAAAGGAATGAAAAAATGATCTATACAAGAAAGCAGGTAAGGGCCCTTACCTGTTTAGGTTTGGGTTGCTTTTTTGAGCAAAACAATGAAAAAGGAATGCCTCATATGATGATAGGAGGTGCCTCATAGGAGGTGCATCATGCCACGAAAGAACACATGAGGAACCTCCTCGTGCAGCTGCTCCAGAGGAAGCTTTCTGCGACAGTTTTCGGAGTCACAAAATGCATTTTGTGACTAGAAGCGATGCACTTGTTACTAGTAGCGAACATTGTTACTACTAGTAAGGCCAGGAGCCCTTAGTAGCGTCCTTGTTACTACTAGTAAGGCACTTGTTACTAGAAGCGATGCCATTTGCTCCTAGTAGCGAACATTGCTCCTAGTAGTAAGGCCAGGAGCCCCTAGTAGCGAACATTGCTCCCTGGGTTTGTGGATCGACTCCAGTTGTGCAATGCTCGCTGGCCTTTCCGCTACAAACACACTCGCAGTGCGGGGTTTGGCTGAATTCAGCAGCTCAGGGCCTTCCAATTTGTCAGTTCCAAAGCACGGGAGAAGGGACACATTTGGCCTGAATGTTCGCGGTTTGGTGCCTCAGTGCATAACCAATATCTGCACAAAGGGTTGACATTTTGCGGCCTGGAAGCAAGCGATTGGAGCGGGTCGGTGTCGCTTATGTCCTAAAAGAAACTGGACTTGAGAGTAAAAATTGCTATATAACTGTTGTTGGATTGCAGGATGTTTCAAAACGTTTGGGTAGTTTAGCTCCAAACGCTTTTGGTGGTCAAGCCTCGAGCATAAATACACTGTCAAAAGGAAAAACAGTTTCTCCTCCGAGTGCCACGCAGCAAAATGGGGCAAATCGCACTTCCCAGAGTTCTGAACTGCCTCGGACAAATTACAAAGAATCAGAGCTGTCCACAAAGCTGCATTTAAAGCACCCAACTGAGACTAAGATTGAACATGGAAAAACTAACACCAACCGAAAGAAAATGATCAAACCAAATATGTCCACATGAGACAGTTCAACAAAAGTTCTCATTCTGGGTGCAAAACATCACTGGCAGAAATGTCCTGATACACATTGAGCTTGGCTGTTCTCGAAAGTTGCCGAGAAGAAATCGAGCATGCACCGGAAAGTTTGCATGAACAAACCAAATTAGCATGAGTTTCCGAGCATCACGCGGTTTGTTGGGCCATCATGTAAAGTGCGGATGGTCAGTAGTCGAAATGTTTACCAAAAAGTTCGATCACATTGAACGTCGACGCTCACCACAGGTAACCCCAAATTGGGTTCAAGAACTTGTTGCTTCTCATTGATCTGCCTCGAAAGTGCCCTGGTCCCTTGCTTGCTGCATCAATGCTGTTCATTCCACCACCCGGCGTGGTGCTCAATGAAATACAACGGCTGAACATGTGAAATCTATTCACTGAGAGTCTGGAGCCGCAAAAAAGCATCGGATCGTTGTCACTCAAAAAAGGTACTTTAAAAGTGAAAAATTCATACAAAATTCGATCAGGGAAAGTTTGCTGCTTGATTACTTCATTGTCAATACAAACTACGTGGCTCTGCTGACATAATTTCAAGTTCACACGCACTTTCTCCACAAAAATCTACCAACACGCCAACAATGTTTCGCACCATAATCAGATTAGCGCTTCAAACAATATGAAGCGCTTGTCCAGGAGCGAATGTTCGCACCCAATGCACTGCTTTCTTGTGCAGGGTTTGCAAACCTTAAATGTCCATGATTTCGATTCTTTCTTCCCTTTGGTACCTTTTGGAAAATATCTAGATCCATGGGACTCTCTGGTGACTCAAGAACTTCGAATGTCTCTGGGACTTCTGTAGGCTCGTGGCCATCGCTCATCCGATCATCCTCAACTTCTCTCGGTAATCCTCTGGGCTCGTAAGGATTCGGTACGTCTGCCATTAGTGCTGGGCTATCATCTGGACCGATACTCTCTGGTGGTCTCTTGAACGGAACATCATCAAACTCTGGAAATCTCTGACCTCTCTTATCTCTCTCCTCATGCTCTCGGTGAAACTCATCCCATTCTTCATCAATGGTTTTTCTCTTCTTGGCTTTCTCTTTCTCTGACTCTGACTCTGGTATCTTCGATCTCTCTTGCTCTTCCTGAGGCTCGGACAACAACTCATCCTTTCCATCAATAATCTCAATTTCCCTTGGGGGTCCATCCTCATCCAACGGCACGATACGTTTGTACTCTTGCTCTAGATATTTCTTGTATTTGTTCCGACACTTCACTGAATGTCCAGTCTCCTTTCCTCCAAGACACGCAGGGCATCTTGATGTCGTGTTTCCTTCAACCCAAAACCATGGTGGCTCTTTCATGCGTGGGAAGACCAACTGGTTTCTGTGTCTTCTCTGGTAACTTCTCAAACCTCTCAGGCTTCAACGCTGGGTTCAATCCTGGGATCTCAAGCAACATCACAAGGCCTGCAACAAACCTGATCAGCGTTGCAATCTTCAAGTCTCCGACAGGCGTGATTACCGTTGACTCCTTTGAATCTGAACTAAAAGACACGACATGTCCTGGCGACGAAAGTTTGGGCACATGCACACCCGGGACAAAATGAAGACTTCTTGCCTGTTTGACCTTGTCAAATCAACTCTCGGTAGAGCGGGCAAACACGAGCCATCCGAATGGCAAAACTCAAACTGTTGCTGGAACTTCTTTCACTTGCATTGCATCCATCGCATCCGTTGACAAGGACTCAAACACGAACCTTCAATCTCTCGGCTTTGATTTACTGCTCAGAACAACTGTTTATGACGGCGTACCTCAGAGATTCTGACGCAAGCTGTAGGCCTCTGTGGAAAAGAACTGTCCGCGTTCTTTTTTATGTGTCTTCACAACCGCACCTGATGCATGCCTTCCTGGCCTTGCTGTGGTTTGTCGACGAATTCTCCTTTTGCCAAGTGTCTCTTGAGAATGTTCAATCTAAGACACAACACTTGCAATGGTGACATCCTCCCGGTCGCCGGTCACAGAAAGGTGACGAACCAATCATGTCCGTCTGTCAAGACCGGAATGTGTGGGAAGCTATGCGCAGAATTCGTGGACAGGCTGAAAACAAAACCTTTCGACTTCGACGGTAAACTCGACGCAACACGCTTGTCAAGATCAACTTTCCAATGAGCATCATTCTTCCCAGCGATCATGATTTCGATCTTTTTTGCACGAGTCGAGCCGCCATTCATGCAGGAAATGCACAGGTCAGCTTGTGCAGTTTTTGTAGAGTCTCCATCATGAAGGGGGCCGAACACAAACAAAACACAAAAACAAACAGCGCCCCAAAACCAAAAGAAAACCAGGGTTGGAAACTCTTGGATGTGCATGCAAGGGTGAAACAGATTGGTGAAACAGAAACTGGGCAATGAATCACTGCAAAAGGCCATAAGAAGGGCTGTCCGAAGTGCGGTTCGAAATGATTGCAAACCACTTGGTCTACAGGCCTGTTTAAACAGGCCATCACACCGAGCACTGTGATAATGTGCTCTCCGCACTCATAGAGCATAGCACTTGAAGCGACACGAGCAATCTGGTCGAACGAACAGTGACAAACCGCACTTACAATGCTTGACTCACACAAACACAGCAATTGTGATCCACCCCGCTGCGCTCCTAGCTGAGCCGTTTTGGAGTGCACCACGGCAAGGTGATCCCACTTCCCTCCCTCCTGTGGAGGGAAGCAACAAAAGGCTGTATAAGCATTGCATCTTCGTGGAGCCTTGACACAGCCATAAATCATAGACAGTGCAACATACCACTCGTGAAAAGGTCACACTGCTGGCAAAGAACTCCCCTTTCGTTTGGCACACTAGGGCTTTCCTTACTGCAGTGGTTTTCCATGGACCACATTCAAGAGTAATTTCACGCTTAGCCGCTGCCTTTATTGCATGCCTCGCGCAACGGCCTGTGAAAGCAGGCCACTGAACCAAGTGCAACTGCCGATGCCTGAAAACAAGACAGCCCTGCATTCGCAACTGCTCACTTTGAGGCTTTTTTGCAACAATTCACTGCCCCCATATGTTTCATCTTAGTCTCACTCTTCGTCACCCGCGTGACTTACCTGAGTCTCCTCGCCTGACCTGTTTGTTTGGTTTGCTTTGCTGGTTTTTGCCCCTACCTGGCCGGAGACTCACTCACAAGTAGCACAAGCTAATCTGTGAGCCTGCATCAGGGAACAACTGTTCCACACAGTTGCACCAAAGAAGGAACCAAAGACGAACTAAGTACACACTTGTATGATCTTGGCCTTCTGCACTTGGCAACATCTCAGGTGCAGGGCTCACTCCAGGCGGACTCGAGGCTTCTGCCAGTCTCGTTGGAGTCGCATTCTCCATGGCTCACAAAAACGGCT